GTTGCGACAATTTCAAATAGGGAGCCATTACCAGGAGGGTGATTCTTATTTAATTAATACCAACCATATGATTGACACATTTTCCATTAGCATATCTAATGAAAAATTTGTAAATTTTATTAAAAAAGAGTATTTTCTAATGTGATATAAAATACATCTGAAATGACAAATATTCTCTGAGTAGTGTCTTGCTATTATGAATTTTAATGATAATTACATAGTCCCCTGAATACCTACGTATTTTAATAAAATAACGTAAAAAACATAATTAGAAAAACAACTTCCAACTAGTAATTTACCGTAAATGTCAACTTTTCTTCCTTTTGAGCTAATTTTAACAATATTTCGAAGCAGTTTTCTCAAGCATATTTTAGACGCAGAAATGCGTTTGCATTTTCGAATGGTGTTCTCTACAAAAGCGATATTTAACAATCTAAAATCAAAAATAACCCAAAAGTTAACTCAAATCGGTTATGCCAACTTATCATTGTCCTAGTGTTTTTAGAAAGCTGGTTGATCATTTATCTAATGCAAAGCATATTCCGATTTTACAAGATTCCCTCATATTTTACGATTCCTTCCGCGCTTTGTTGCCGCACGATTTCAGTTACAGGTGACGAAGGACCGTTGGCGATGTGTTGCAAAAAGGGAGATAAAATCGGTGTTAACTAATATGAATAGCAATTATATCAATTAAACATAATACTGCAATGAGCGCAATTGCCCTATTTGGAAAACTAATTATTTTAAGATATACGATACCACTCGAGCTCAATTTACTGTTGGATTTATGTCAGCTCCGTAATTTTATGAACAAGTTTATGTTACGCATAAATCATCACATGCATATAACATAAAATTCGCAGCATTTTAGAATCAAGTTATTAAAATATGCGCAAACGTTAAACTTACAGTAAGATCGCATATAGACAAGTAATTTTTACGTAAAGAGAATTACCATATATATCCGTATCAGTTAAAACTCCTTCATCCTGATCACTTTGGATAAAGGGAGCATGGGATTCAGGCAGGATCCAGAATTATTGTATTTCTGAATTTCGAGCGCTCCTAAAAAGTGGAGTTATTAAATATTTTTATATTTATAGACAATAAAGTACAAAACTTTTACAGAAAATTAAATTCAAAAAATATTTTTTTATTAACTATTTTACTTTTTAAGCTACTTTCTAAAATTTCTGAAACATACAGACAGAATATGCGCATTTTGCAGTTAGGTGCCTATATAAATTTATTAAGAACTTCAATGCCATTTTTTTTCTCTCCATCAAAAAGTCTTAATTAAAAATATGTTTAACAAGCAAAATAAGCATTGAAGTAATTAAGATATACCTGTCTAATTTTTTATATTTATGAAAGTGTAGGTATATTTTTTTATTAATGAGCATTTAATAAATATGAATGACATAAAACTATTTCTTTAGCATACCCGTTGTATCAAGGAAACAAAGCAACTTCATTAGACCATAAACAGAGGAATAAAGAAATTGTTGGCTCAATAATCTGCAAAAAGTGCAAAAGTATAATTAAAATTAAAGCAAAACGGAAAAATAGTCCTAATAGTGAAAAACAGGTGGTGGAATGAATGCTAGTTACTTCAAAAACAGTTCAAACTTTGATTTATTGCACTTTACAGTAATATTTAAAAATGTATTCAGATATACCTAGATACAGGATCCTCTTCAAAAAAGAGTTTTCTTGTGAAATGCACACGTACAGTCGAAGACAATAAATGTATTACGTCGAAACTCTTTTAATGTCTACGATTGTACAAGCATTGATCGAAACATAAATTTAGTGTAGTGATTACATTGGAACTAATACTAACAGACATCTAAAAATATAAAAATATATATAAAATTAGATACCTTCTTTGTAAATCTCTGCCAGTTTTCTACACCTCAAAATGATTTCTGTGTTCAGTGCTAGGGTTTGTTAGCCCCTCTATTGTAATATATTCGGGATGTTATATATTATTTTACTTTCCCGTGCTAAGACACGAAATTAATTTTCAAATTTATTCACGTCGGAAATCATTAAGTACCTAGGGATCCATAAAAAAATGTTTATGTATATTTAAATTTATAATTGTCTGAATTAATGTTGGATTATTAGAGGCGAGTTACAAGAACTCATAATTTGAATGATTTAAGCACTGTTTGCCCGTATTTTAAGCAAATAAGGCTGGAATGCGTGTCTAGAACAAACTGGCAAAATATTAATAATAATTTACATTTTGAAATATAACCAAACCTTTGCATTAAAAGAAAAGCTTTGACAGATGTATTATTTGTCACTTTATAGGTGATTATGCACACGCCTGTGAATTAAAAAAATTTTTTGTTTTGTGGTAATGTTAATTAAAAGTAAAGATTTTGTTGTACTACCTATGAAAAGGCATATTTAATAATGTAAAGTTAAAAAATTTATCTATATGCACAAAACAAAGATGAATTTCAATTTTAATAAAAAAATGCATACATATTAATACAAAATTCCTAATTTCATGGCTTCGGTTTATTAATATATGTGCATTTATTTCGCGATTAGTTAATTTGCTTTGAATATTAAGAACAGTGGAAAATTTTGCAACAGTCACTTGTAATATTCCTACTTAGAACAGCTACAACGTAGCAGTATAGTTATCCAATATGTAATTAAGTCTTCCACGAAGCATAATGTTAATAAATAAGAGTTTGCTTTCAGTTAAACCACGGGGTTGATTTTATAAATTTAGTTTTGTTCACACTGAGAAGGTAGACAATTAGGCATAATAGAGTTTATATGATCAACTTCTTGAATTTTGGTGCAAGTCAAATAGTTTATTTAAGGTTTTTTTTTTCCTTTTTGGAGTGATAGAATTACAAAATTAAAAAAGCAGTACTAAAATATTATTATAAATAAAAATCTGATATACATGACATATTGGTGGTATTGATACAAGTATGCCAATATAGACCAAATTTGAGTTGCATCTTCACCGCCATCGAAAAGTTTGATGGTTTACAGATAGGTTTCTTGAGGTCTTAGTGTTGTTGTTGTTGTTATGTTCATATCTGTATTGATTTAACTATAAAACACTGTTGGATCGGATTGTCAGTTTAGACTTTTCTTCAATGTTTAAAAATTCTCTATCATCAGAGGCCTAAAGATAAAAAAAAAATAATATTTTTATTGACATGTAAATTGATATGATTTATGAATCAAATTGAAGTTGCAGCACCGTTTCAATTATCTTTTGAGAGTTACTAGTTCTACCATTTTGCGGAGATTATATTTTGAAAATGTTATTTAGTAAGGTTGTACATAAAAAAACCATAAATATTGATTTAATCTATATTTAGTTTGTTTGACAAAATCATGAAATGGTGTTTTATTATTGTTTATGTCTATTTGCATATAAAACAAAATCCTTAAAATACGAATATCATGTACTAAATACCAAAATGTTCTAGCTAAAGACTGTTTCTGAAAAAAATTTCTTTTCTCAGAATATTTCTATTTAAATGGAGAATTAAGTATTTAGTGAATTTACATACAGTAAATATCCTTTATGTCTATTTATTTTACTTGTTTGTTTACAAAATAGTAGGTACATATTATTAAAATTGTATATAGAAGATATATGAACAGCGATTTACTCTTGTTCATAAAATATTCAGCAGGCATAAAACCCACTTAAAAGATGTGCAGTAGGTAGTACAAAAAAGTATANTAGATTCAAACATCAACATCAAAATATTAAAATAATACAATACAAAAAAAAACGAAAATATATATTGGAAATATTTTTTATATCAATTATTTTGCAAGAAATAATGTGGAAATTCTTCTAAAAAAATATTTAACATTTGATATAAGGACGACTGTAATAGCATATTGGTACGGGCAAAAAGTAACATAAACAAATTACTATTTCTAGACTTCAAACTGGGAACTCTGTATGAAATGTTTCTAATAATAAATTAACAATTAATGTCTTAATGAATGATTTTGTGTAGGAATATAACAGTGTGCATAGTGCACCTGTTCTAGAAGAACTAACAAGAAATCTAGGGAGACTTTGCAGAAAAAAATCAGTAGATTTAAAAAACCTTGGTTCACCTCTCTTCAACAGAGAAATATGTGTGACATAAACAAATCCCAAATTCTTATATGCAGCAACTAAACAACCACAGATGTGCTGTAAAAAACTAAGCCGCGAGTAAAAAATGATTCTTTAAACATTGTCGGACATCTTGAAAGTTTAATCCTCAAAATACAGAAATTCTGTACATTAAATCAAAAATAAAAACGTATAACTGATGCAAACAATACGTTTTTATAATGTATGGTATGATATTGATATAATTTATGAATACTGACCAATCTGAAGTCGAATCCTTCTCGAAGGAGTTTCCAATAAAGGCCTGTTGTGGCCATTGTACGGCGGCGGCGGCGGTATAAAATATCAACGGGGTCGGCAGGCAAGACAACAACAATTGCCCGCCGCATATGAATAACTAACTACGTCCTGAATAACGCGGAATATAATCTAAATTGCGATCTTATTGATTTAGTGCGCCATCAGCAGCGACGGTCCCGGCGAGCGAGGAGGCGAAGAAGAGAAGGAAGGCAGACCGGCAGCAGCAGCGTATAATCCTTTTGCTCCTATACATACATCCACATAAATACATATATAAGATGTAGAATAAATAAATAATCCATACAATTTATATACTATTGTATATCGGAGCAGCGGCGCACGCGATTGGCGCTGCCGCGGCCCCACCACCACCGGCCCGGCCACATCCCCACCCCCAGCCCAGCATCCCACCGATGCAAATACCGCCGTTATACGGCTACAGTCGGTGGCGCTGACAGCACGCGGACGCCGAGCGAGCCCCGTGTTAACCCTGAGTTCACCCCGCGCCAGTGACAGTGACTACATATCATCACACCGGCAGAGTGCAGTGACATGACCCGCGGCTGACTCGAGTGCTCCAGGACTCGCGTTGATGCAATTCGAGAATCTGGCGGATCTCAAAAGCGACACGGTACGGAGGTGGGTAGAGTCCAATCCTTCGCCCACCCTCCAACGCGCTGACACCCCCAAGTCCGGCAAGAACAGCCTCAACAACAACACCATCGACTTCGCCCAGACGTTCTGGGGCAGGCCGAAGGACGAGATGCCCATGCTGCTCCACCAGACGCCCGGACACATGCTGCTGCCCCACGAGGCGGATCAGCCCCTCGACTTCACCATGTCAAAGTTCAAGACTAAGACGTCCGTCGCGTCGCAACTCAATTTCGCACAGCAGCACATGATGCTGCTGCAGAACAACGGCTTGTACTTTAACAGGAGCAACAACAACAAGAGCTTCACGCGCGGCAGCAGCCCGACGTCGAGCAGTTCAGAGGAGGAAGGCGTCGGACCGCCGGCGGGATCCCCCAGGTCTCCACCACCCAGCCCGCTGAGGATGCGAGGCGACGGTAAGTGCACCATTACACCCCCGCGACATGTGCTCGGCCACACCTGCACGCCGTTTGCGGGTCGGGCAGGTAGAAATGTTCGTTGCAAAAGACCCCGGGCCATTAATTCTATTCAAAACGTACGCAGTATTCAAATTCCCTCACAGATTCACATAGTTTTCGGGGAAACCGAGGCATATATCTTGACTAGATGTGACAGTTCTTGTTGTTGTGTCGGCCGGAGGAAGATGCATTGTCATTCGGATACCGAACGCATACTTAAAACCAATAATATCCTCGCCTATCAACGCATTCATTGTCGTGATCACTGAAATCTGCCAAACAAGTGAACTGATTACATTATATTACTACCCTAATTCTGTAAACTGTAGCACACAATTTATATTATAACTCTAATGTTACTGATGTAAGTTTTGTTTACATCTCATCATAAAGATGAATATATACAAACTGGAACATCTTCAACACACCAAGGAACATTTCATGTTGTCTTCCAAATTCGCCAAAAAAATCTGCTATATTTCTCAACAAGACCAATTATTTTCAGTTTCAATGAAGCTAACAGAAAGTTTGATTCTTTCTTTAGAAAATTATTGAAGCAAAACCACATTCTAAATAGCTTTTGTTTGTAAAGAGGCAAAAGTCCATGCAAATGTTTCAAGCTCTAGCCATACTTGAACTGGTAATACAATTTCTGCTTCTGATTCATTATTTCCTTCCTTAAAATTCATATATACAATCCACAAATGTCTGCGTCTAGAATCTGACATTGTATGTTGTAATGTCAGTAAAATCATAATAGAGCTTTTATCTGGCAGTACGTTTTATCAAACCATTAATAGAAGAGAAGTTGAAATGTTTTAATTAATAGTATATAATATATAGTATTTTATTAACACTTATAAAGTTCTGAAAGTTTTTCTCACAAATATTGAAAGGGTACTGTTTATGTACTATATAACTTTCATTTAGCTCACTATTTTAACAAATTATATGTTACTTGATATTGTCTTTTCACCATTTCTACTGTTAAAATTCGAAAATCAATAATTTTGACTACATGTTATTAAGTATCAAAACTATATGTCATTGAGCAAATATTTCATTAAAATAATTATACTCTATTGACACAAATTGTTGTAAAATCGGTGTTATTATGTCAAAGTACTAATTAATATAGAAAAAGTAGCTACTGCTTATTGATTTCTTGCAAGTGAGTTAGTTTTATCCACATTAGATGTAAATATGACTTGAATGGACAGTGTTATACGCAAATAGTGCAATAAATAGTTACTTGATCTAAAATAAAACTATTAGAGCTTTTTCAAATTACTATAAATAGTTTCAGCGATTTGTATCTTCATATTTACTACATTTCTTTTTGATTAATTTTCAGTAAATCTAGCGAAGAAGTTTATTATATAAAAACCAAGCATGACTTATTTTCTTTTGTTAAAATAGATCCCATTATATTAGTTATAAATTAGCATAATCCACAAAAATAAACTGTAATAAAATTAGCATAAGAAACACCTATAACTAATACTTTTTAAGTATATAAATGATAAAAGGCCTGATATTTATTGTTAATGTTAATTTTATATTTTTTATAATTTGCAAAATAAGAATATTATTCATTAAAGAAAATTTGTCATTTTTATACGTTACTTGTATTTTTCCAAAATCATTCCAAATTTTCAGTTTTCAAGAAACATGATTTAATAAGCGACACAAGCATTTCGAATTAAATTAGATTAGATTTTGTGGGCAAAAGAAACATTCGTGTTTATCGCTTTTCTGGATCACTATCTGGTTGGCTTTCCTTGAGGTCTTTCTCCTAGCTTTATAAAATGTTTGGCATACATATCACGACATACTATTAATTTATGGGGAAGCCAGTTGCAATTCTGCCAGAGATTATTTATTATTATTCATGGCATCAGCATCTCACAAAAATAAATAAATACATAAAAGGCTCAGATTTTCTTAAAAATATTAAAAAAGCAATTAAGCTTATTACGCCGCCGCCGTTTCAAAAAAATAGTATACCAGAGAAAAATAATTTACAGTAATTCTTATAGTGAATGTTTCTTTCTGGAAGTAATTTTAACTAGGAACACAAGCAGCTTTGTATAACATCCACTTTGTATCGCTATAATTAACGATTTTATTTCTCAAAAGAAATGGTTGTAGATTTTAATCTGCTTGCTGTTTTGCTATTAATTTTATAGTATATTTATTTTAAAAATTGCAGTATAAAGGATATAAGGATGCATAACGCAATAAAAAATACATAATAATTGTAGTTAATTGTAATTACTGTACACATGTTTGAAGTAAATAAATAAATAGTAATATTTGTAACTTGCTGGTCTTAGATGAAGCCGCAAACTGAACTTAGGTATATTTTTTATATGTTTCTATAAATTTTACGTTAATTTCACAAATGCCGTCACTATTCAATAACATCTCAGGAATAAATTGAATTTATGTGGAAAATATGAACACGAAAACATAAAATAGGGGTAACAATAGAATTATAATTGATTGTTTCTGCCCTTAAAGTAATATACAAGGCGATTCACTTTCCTTATTACAAATTTTGACAATAGAAAAAATATTATATAAACAGCAATTTATTAATAGGTAAATCCTGCAATAAAATATGCAAATTGAAAAATTAGCTTTCCGGCCTGGGTACATAATTCACTTTTAATGAATTCATATTATTTCTGATGTGGGTTGCGATATCTTGGGGTTAACGTGTTGCTTCAAGTGCCCCATAAATAACAGGGGCCTAAGTCTGGACATCTCAATGGCCATCGTATCAAACCTCTATACCATCCATTTATTTGGAAAGTGAGTATATTTATTGTCCGGTGTGCGGTGAGGAGAAGCGTCAGTATGTTGATTCCACATTTACTACTTAATATATTTAAGATATTTTCCAAAAATTCAAACCGTAAGCTGTTTAGAAGTCATGAAATATCTCTGAATTAAGGGTTATATTAAACACATTCAAGATCCAAATGTTTATACCAAATATTTTCTGAAAATGACAGTCCAAGGGCCACATATGATCATTTCCCATTTCTAGAAAAAGAGGCTTCACAAATTATAAAGCCTTAAAACTAAAATCCAGTGGCAAAACTGAAGTCTTTGTTGAGCATCTCTGGATAGCAATGTTTGTACATTCCGTCGATGATAAAGGTGCAACACGTCAGGATTTAATACTCGCCACAGGAAACTTTGCGATAATTCTGTCTGTTGCTAATTTAGAAAATTGCCGTTGTTGCTTCATCGGTAACGTTTCGAATTTGTGTGGAGGACATGTGTCTTTGTTGTGTAAAGAAATACCCTGTATAATGTATACGTAAATACTATTTTTATGTTTCCGTAGGCACGTACGACATAACATTTACTTTATTATTACGTACCCATTCAATTCTTTTTTGGAATTTACAATCTAATCTTTGAACAGATACTGATACATCTAACCTTATAGAAAAAAAGTTTTATACTTTAAATTAACTTGAAATTAATACAAAGGTGTTTTTGAAAAAGGCGCTTTAATTTTAAGCGATTATAAATTGTCGCAAACCAAACATTCATCCAAAACAAAGGGTTTCACAGAAATCATTCTGATAAAAGTTTTATAATACCAGATATTTACATCCGAAGTTAATTAGGTTTATGACGCCGATTCTGTAATAATTATTAAATAATTAAACCAATCAGTGTCGTCGCTCTTTGACATTTTAACAATGGCTTTTGTTCTAAGTCTTGGTCTGACGTTTTGGTAGACTGGTGTTTATTTAGGTGTTAGGGTAAACTTCTTGTGGACATTATTGTTGATATTTAAATAAACTAATTTGTTCTTAAGTGAGATACAATAATAACGAACTCGTGAACATGATTCTAATTTACCGAGAATGTCTTCAAAACTCTGTAAAACCATCTCGGCTCTATGCGAAGTACTATCCTAATAGGACATATCTCAGACCCCGAAGATTTATCTCCTTCAGCGAGCTCATGATAATGGAGAGCACAAGAAGGCCGTGGAAGACATACCGGAAGAGCTCCACCAAATCGTATGATACAAATTAAGAAAAAGTTCTCAACCTACTGTCGAAGAATAACCAACAACTAGTAACAAATATATTTCTCATGGTAAAGTTTGGAGAATAAAAAGCAACTATAGCTATATTATATTTATCATGTACAAGCATTGCAATCAGAAGACCATCCTGCCAGGGTTCATTTTTGTGAGTGGTTATTAGAATAAAATAATGGGAATGAAAATTGCGTTAAATGCGTGTTGGTAACTAACGAAGCAACATTTACATGGAGTGGAGTAAAAAAACTTCTATAAAAACCGCATTTGGCTGTTCAGTGCCGTTAAAAGCCCCATGAAAGCGTCTTTTTTAACGACACTGTTTTTTTTAAATGAGAAATGGAAAATAATAACAATCAGAAGACAAAAATTGAGCTCCGGGCTTGAAAATAAGTTAATAGTTAATAATACCAAGGTTCAGAGAGTATCTAGAAACACATCTTCCGTTCATCGAAATAATCGAGGTCTCTTTTAATGGTATTATTTTCCTTCTTCAAAATTTTTGCCCGACCCAATGAAGGGTATTTAATTATTACCCCTTTTTGGGCAAATCTTTAACAAAAAAGTTATGCTGATCAAAATTCCATTTATAGCACATTTTGTGAATATAATTAGCATTATGTTGGAAGAAACGAGTTCAAAAATCAAAGATTTGCCATCTTGGGGCTCGGCCAAAATTTTGGAGAAAGAAAATAATAGATACTGCTAAAATAAAATTAAAAGAAAGCGTGATTATTTTGTGAAACGGCGAAAAACATGTTTCAAATTATTATGTGAACTTAGATCGTTGTTGGCTACAGATACTAAATAATAAAGTAATTGAATATACATCATATGATATCTCTAACTATAGGAAAAACAAAAAAATTTAAACCGTCAAAAAAAC